CACTTGTGCAGATCTCCAATCCGAGTAACGGATCCTTTTTTCCCTGGCTACACACCTCAATACCCGTGCAATCTCACTCACTTGTATTGTTGTCTGCACAATCAGGTACACAATCTGGCGTCCCAGATTGTTTCACAGCACTTCTATCACCGGTTTCGTTGGGCAGTGGATGATAGAAGGCTCACTGCCCCCTGCTGACATATACGGTTGAAGAAACTACTGGAATCAAGTCTGTATTCTTGGCTCACACGAGGTACACACACATTCCTGGGAGTCTTTTCCCAAACAGAGCGTAGGGAGCAACTAATAATTAAGTCACCCTGCGCGTATGCAAAAGCAAACACACAGAATCTTCTTTTATTAAATCTTTCATACGGCTGCGTGTCCGGGATATCGATCGTGCCGCCACCGGTTTGACTCTGCCCTTTCACGGCTGCCATGTCAGGTAACAGGCTTGAAATGACTTCCTGCGTTTTGCTTTGCTTCTCCAAAATTCCGTGACGGCACCGCTTAGTTCGGTGATTCTCTGGTCGTTCTCACGGAGTCGCACCTGAACTACGTCCACTGAAACCTGTTCGTCAGCGAGGACAAGACGATTATGTACATACCGACACATGCACATGTGATGGGATCTCCAGCCTTGAGCTGCTAACTGATGCTGAATTGGTTTCACAAATTCGTTGTCTCAGAATCAGAGCTAAGCTGGACAGCACAGGTGAGACCTGATTTCCGAAACTGGTTCCTCGAGTTTGCTGAAGGCACCTGTGATTCGCAATGAACACGGCGCTGTGAAAAGAAGCTGCACCACAGACACCAAGTCCTCCAATCGAAACACTTTCGGTTTCGTAGACCTGCCGCTGCGTGGTTGATGTCCCGGCGCTCTCTGCGCAGATGCTGTGGCTTTTCGAAGATGCGCCGTGTAGACTGTCCTGCCGGTGGCAGCACTGCTGTGCTCGGTGGTCAACATCTGAAGCGCAAACACGGTCATCTCCCGAGGAACGCTGTTAAAAAACCTACCAGGTCGACATTGAACTCAAGAAGCTCAATTCTGGACGGCATGTCGCTGAAAAGTTGTGAATTCTGCGCCAAATTTCAGGAAGGGAGGCATCCAATCCATGCCAGACAGTTCGAAACATCATGGTATACACAGCTGCAGCGAACAACAAGGGAGTATGCAAGTTTACGTTTGAGTGGCACGAAGCCCACCAGCAGACTTCCTGCCCAATCCACCCCACAGGGGTAAAGTCCCCTCAAACGATCAGAAACACCCAGGCTTTGAGTTGCTCAGCGTCACTCTTTAACTCGCGAAAAACTCAGGCTAAGGGATCGGACCATTTTCGCTGAATGCTAGCGAAGTAGAACTGCGGCCAAAAGACCATCAGGGGATCGGGGTGATGGTCTTCACGGTGCACCACAAACCCTCGCAACGCCAGCTTGTATGTTTGTATAAGTTTCCAAGTGAGTCGACATTCTGCTTCCACGCTGGTCTCATGCCATGCCCACTGCTCTTGAAGAAAAGACTCCAACTGAGCACACACAGAGGCAGGAAACCCGTGCATCTTCCGCCGTTGTTAAAAACAATTTCAAGAACGTCTTCTTGGTCTTAGACGGAAAAATGTGGAATTGGCACTGCGTTGGCAAAGAAACTCCAAGTCGGTAAGAAGGCCCCATAACATTTCAACACCGGCAGCAAGATGCCCAGCAACAATGCACGTATCTAAGAGCTTGAGGTTCTGACACTTGCAGTCACTTGCACGGCGAATACAGAAACTTGAACTGTCTGCCATCGGAATTGTGATTTGGCCAACTCATCTTCCGCAACTTTACGACTCCTCGAAACAGGTTCCGAACCCGAGTCTTCATGGGCTCTCAAGACACAGACCCAACCGTACAATTGCATACACCTCTTCATACAAATCGCTGACTCCGAAGAAGCTTGACTGCAGAAAAGCTCGCCACTGTGAAATTGGAAAGATCATACGAAATCTCCCATGCTTGTCGTCGGTCTATTGCACATTCGAGAGGCTGTCAATGTGTCAATGTGGATGCGGATGCTGAAGAAAGCACAGCCCAGGCAAGGCTACAGCCCGACAGATGGATGGTGTAAGCAAACCCACAGAGAAAGAAAACAATCGCAACTCGCGGATGGAGATCAGTGAGAAACATGTCGCATCACTGATGGTTTGTCTATAGATTTCGGTGCTGTTACTGTACACACTGATGCAACAGAAACTGGCTTTGGTCGGGGTGTTCCGATCAGAGAACCATATCGATCATAGCCATGACCATACGACATCCAGGCCCTGGTGCACACAGCACAATAAGCGAATGTTGTTTGGAGCGCACTTGTACAGATCTCCAACTCGAGTAATGAGACCTTCTTCACCCGCTATACACCTCAATCCCGTAACCTTGCAATCTCACTCACTTGCATTGTTGTCTGTACCAGCAGGTACACAAATTTGGCGTCCCAAACTGTTTCACAGCATTTCTATCACCGTCTTCGTTGGGCAATGGATGATACAAGGCTGACTGCCTCCTGTGCTGACATACAAGGTTGAATTAGCTACTGGAATCAAGTCTGTATCCTTGGCTCGCAGGAGGTACACACACACACACGCACATACTCGTTCACGGAACATAGAGACAGAGACACAATGATGGGGGAAGGGCTGGCTTGGAGACGTGCTATGACTGCTATGATGTAGTGTTTCGCGCGTTTGCTGTGAAACCGAGCACCTACATGGGGCGAACAGCGTGGACGTACTGTCATGTGATGTCACTGACGTGTGTCTTTCGCGGGCACTTATGAAATGGAGCGCCTACATAAGGAATGGCTGGTTTGGGCGTGCTATGATTGCTATGGCAATGTCTCGCGTCCTTGCTTGTGAGATCGAGCTTCTACATGGGACATAGTGTAATTTAATAATGTGCTGTCATGTAACGCCACTGACGTCTGTTTCTCGTGGGTGCTTGTGAAATGGAGCGTCTACATGGGGAATGGCCGGTTTGGAAGTGCTGGGATGCCACTGATGTGTGTTTTGCATGTGCGTGATTGAAATCGAGCGTCTTCATGGGGAATGGCCGAGATGCCATGTGCGGGAGCATTCTCCACATATTCCCAGCGCTGTCGCAGCATTTCCATCGAAGCGCATGGTTTTCCTTGTTCGGCGATGCCATGTCATATGGCGGGTCAAAAGTGATTGCTTATTTTGTTGCGACTTTTTGGTGTGTGATGTGATGTTCGCCGGTTCGCGCATCACAATGTTGCAAAGCGACCTTGACGCGACTTTCGACGGCGTGAGGCGACGTAAGGCCAGCACCCAGTAGGGCCAGTAGGATTGTTCCTTCTATCGTAAACTGAGCCAACACCGGGAAGTCAGCTTCTGCTTGCAAGTTGAGGGTTCAAACAATGCGACAAGGCAAAGGGTCAGTGCATGAGAGCATGTCTGTGGAGAACGGGCTAGGGTTTGAGTGCAGGCCCGAAATGCATTCAGGGTCCGGGTATGTCAGAGATGCCACTGCCACAGGCGGCCTTCGCCACGTGTGGCCTGCACCGTCCTGCCCTGAGATGTTGGCAAGACTCTGCGGCCGGTCCACGACAATCCGAGACACCGACAGGATGCGAGTTCGTCCCCTGCACTACGATTGGAGGCAAGACGCAGTTTGGCAGATGGGCCCCCAGTGTCGTGTCAAAGTCATCGATTCGCCGTGTCAGAAGAAGTTACAGTTGTACATGAATAAAGGATGCCAAGCTCCTAGAATTCTGTGAGCGCTCTTCCGCTACTACTGCCCACACTGTAATCATTAGGGGAGTGCGATCAAGCAAGCGCAAGCGTGTGCAATCGCGCATGGTTCCCGGTCCGTCATGTGGTTTCAGGCTTCAGGCTTGACTGACACGACACATTGCGTTGCCTGACGACAGGCTACACCCCGGCAAGAGGTCTGAACCAAAGAAGCTTCTGCTCAAGCTTTTGCAGCTCCAGCATCATCTCGATGTCCACCAATTTAGGCGTTGGTCAGCCCAATGGCATCAGCTCGGAAGGCTGAAATGCTGCAAGTTGGATGCCGGTGCTGTTCCGCCATGCCGCTGCTGCCTGCCAGACAATATCAGATGCGGAAAGTCAGAGGCGTTTCGAGCTTGCAAATGCAGGTGCCACAGGTGCTGCAGTCTCGCGAGACGCAGCCAAAAGAGAGTCATCGGGCTAGATATGAGCGCCCTGACCGAACACAGGCGAGATCTTGCTCCTGTTGCTCTCCATCATGTTTCAAGCATTGCAGACTGGTGTGTCATGTTGTTCGTGTTTGAATTGTCATGTTTCTATATCCTGGAGGGTATGTATTCTTGAGATTCGAGATTGTGTGTCTTTGTTTTTTTTGCTTGTGTATGTGGGGGTGTGTGTTAGTTCGACTGCCGTGTTGGCACTCACAGTTCCACTATTGCAAGACCCTGACAGGAAATCAGTTCGAATTTGCCGGACGTCTGGGTCAACTTCTTAGATGGTTCCTGTGGGCTGCGGACCTGACTCTTGAAGCTCATCGCAGCAATTGTATTGAGGTTACAAAATGGGTGGACTACGCAAGCAAGTCATGCGCCAAGACCGCTGCAGGCTGTTGCAGGAAGATGTTCGAGCGAAGTGAGCAAACAGAGCTGATCAGCGGCTCTCCTCCGTTACACGGAGTATCAGAGTGGCGCATACTGCTGGAGCTGCTGAAATCCTGCGTGCGAGGTATGGTGTCGGCTATGTTCTGTCTGACGGCTCCATTGGAGTCCACTTCAATGATTCCACAAAGATTGTGTTGGCCCTGTGCTCAATCTCCGTTGACACATAAAAAGGCACCAAGGCACGGGATTGATTCGGATTCTTTGAGGTGCCAGGTGGGACACACTTTGACTACGTGACGTTCCGGCCTTACAGTCTGTGTTGGTCAGTCAGAGATCTAAGGGTATCCGAGGGTTGAGCTGGGTGGTTCACGTGGTACGTGCTGCGCTTGTCTCTGCTAATCGCCGGCATTTGCTGGCTTTGTGCTTGTCGACAGTTTCCTGAAACTTTTGAGCCGCAGCACCTGAGCCACTCCGGCAGTCCCACCCACAAGGGCATGTGAGACAAAGACTATACCGACTCTTGGGGGACAGGGTCCGGAAGAGGCTACAAAGACTCATAAAGACTCCGTGCATACTGACAGCAGCAACGCGCGCAGGCCCAGTGCGGTGAAAGGGGGTCTCGCGTCGAATAATGATAGACTTGGTTTAATCGCCAGAAATATACAGAAGTCGTAATCAGTCTTTGACCATGCCTTTGCTTGTGTCAACGCGAAGTGCTTTGTCTCGCAGCCCTGCTTGGCCTTGCGGCAGTTGCTCCACGAGGCTTCCCCCGTCGGGATTGCGCTTCATGTCGTGGAGCTGATAAACCAGTCTCGTTGTTTGACTTGCTGCAGCATCCTGGACAGACTGAGCTGTGGCACAGACTGAGGCCTGTCTGCCTGCATATGGTCGGCACAACCAACAGAAAGCCTAAGCATGGGAGAGCCTCTTACTGTTGCATATACGGCAGACGGTCTGCTGATTGTGTATGATCTGTCGAGCAGGCTTGCGCGAGCCTTCTTTAGAGAGTCAAAGAGTGTTCAGGATCGGCCTTCGGCCTTTAGTCCAGCTTTGTTCGATGTCTTTGGTGGACGCCCATTCTCACTTGCCAAGGCGCCGGACGCAAGAAAAGGCCGAAGAACGGTCAACTTATCACTGGGACACCTACCCAGAGGCCTACCCAGAGTCTGTGTGCTGCATAGTCTTTGACTGGCTGCATCTTGCTGCCTTGCTGGTTCGCGTGGATAGTCGTCCAGAGTGCAGAGCACCCTCAGTGTGCTGACTAGAAGTATCTAGAGCAGCTAGGCAGCTAGGCATCCTGCGCCGCTCATGCACCCAATGTTCAAGCTGAAGCTGAAGGAGCTGAAGAAGAAAGTCACACTCCTGCGACACTTCAAGAACTATATGATGACGGACGTATTGGAGAGGAAGGACAGACGACATGCGCAGTAGCAGCGTAGTGACGCCTGATGCCAGACCGGACACAGCACGGCAGCCAGCTCGCAGTGAAATGATGTTGCTACGTCACATGACAAAGTTGGTTTGGATGAACTTGACTCGATTGCAGTTTGATCAGTCTCACCGACCATGTTGAGTTTGCACAGATGTTTGAGCAAGACAGAAGAGAGTGGGAAGCGCAAGTTGCGGTCCATCTCCGATGTGGGTTGAACCCGTAGCCATAGCTTGCCATAGCTGTCCAGCTGTGTGAAACGAGTCTAGGACGGGGCTTCCTCCGGCGAGTCCAGCCTCAAGCCTGCAAGTGCGGCTAAGGCGGTGCTGGAGCGGCACTGTAAGGGTTGATCGCGTCGCACGACTCTGTTAGACCTTGTCCTGGCAGGTGACATATGCCCCTGGCCAGGTACCTTTTGCAGCTTGGCGAAGACTTTTCATTGCCTTGTCGCGCATTGGGCTTTCGCAGCTTGAAGCAACGAAGTTCAGCGCTCCTGTAAGATTGCAAGTGGAAATGATCTGCTGCGTGGGCCCTTTACATTGAGCAGGGAGAGGAGAACCACCAATGATGATGTGTGTCAGCTTGGCAATGGGCGTGCGCAATTTTCCCCGCTTGAACAGAACATGCGCTCTCGGACGGCAAGTTAGCACCACCCAGAACCGAAACCTCGGGCGCCAGCCCCCCGCCAGAGCCAGATTTGTCGTTTTTGCAAGTTAGAACCACCCCGTACCGCCTAGTACTACATCCGTACGGCCCCGTACCGTCCGGTATAGCCTGCTTCACCAGCTGCGTGATGGGTTTCGGAGGTAATTTGCAAGACTTGTTCATTGATTCACGGCGGAGCACATAAACCGCCTGTGCCGCTGCCGTACTGCCCCTATGCCGCCCCGTACTGCCGTGCCGCACACCGCCCCGCACCGGCCTGTACGGTGCAGCGGCTCGGGGAAAGCGGTGCCCGAGAAAGCGAAGCGACGCTCGGGCGAAATTGCGGCGACAAGTGTGCAAACTTGCCGTCCGGGAGAGTAATGTTGTTCGCTTGAAAGTAGCATGTGCCGCTTGTGCCGAGCCTTGCAGTTACTATCACTAGTCCTACTACAGTACCAATACTCTCCATATCACGATATCCATGACTGTTACTATTGCAAGAGACAACAGTAACATTAGCAGCAGCAACAACAACAACAACAACAACAACAACAACAGCATCACCACCAACAGCAACAACAGCCGCAGCACCACCAAAACAACAGCAACCACCATGATGACCACGACAACGGCCAACAAGAGAACCAGCAGCAGGAGCAGCACCGCCACCACCAACAACGACAACAACAGCAACAGCACCGGAACCAGCGGCAGCGGCAGCAGCAGCAACAGCAACAGCGCCGTTTTAGCAACGCTCCGAACCAACAACACGAACAGCACGCATTGCACGAATCTCCAATATCCCCATGTAAACGCAACTTTAGACAATTTAGACACCAACCGCAGTCTCTTCACACATCAACTGCGACGCTTCGGCGAAACTATTAGCAATTCCCAGTTGCTTCGCCAGGAGAAAGTCATACAAATGACATTTTTTTGCCAGCATCAAATCATTAGCTGTGCCAGTGGAGCCTGTTTTGGGGACGGCTTTGACTTCTGTTGCAATAAATAACGAGTGTGTCAGGGGATACTAGCAGCAACATGATGTTTAATCAATCCCTGGAAGATCGTGGAACTCATCTAAGTGACTAGTCTATCTCGCCGAAACCCAGACAACTGGCGAGGTCAAGAAGTGGACGCGCAATAAGCACGCAATCATGTTCCAGCTCAGTAACAAGACTGTTCAGGCCGCCGACTCAGCAATGCAAGCCCATTGCTCTGTTGCTCCGATCTCCATGCTTTCACTTACTGCTTGCTCGACCAGGTTATCTTCTTTGATAAGACGGAGGCAGTGCTGTCATCACGGTCCCATCTCGTGACCTATGTTGACAAAAAGGGCCAGGCAGCGAATTCAGCTTCCAATGGCAAGACATCTTCTTGAGTTTGGGAAATCGGAAGTCGCCTGTTCCACTCAGAAACAGAGGCATTGCTTGTAGAAGGGGTTGTTGAGTGTCCATAGATTGCGTCAGCAGATTCGATTGAGGGCTACAGTGAACTCCGGCAAGTTGGAACATGGGTTGAGGTATAATTGAAGGTGACTACTGCTGGGATACCCTCTGCTTCAGCTGCAGGGCATCAGGATGAGGGGTTCCAACTTTCTGGCTTTGCCTCAGACGCCACGAAAGAACTATGTTGAACTTGGAAGTATCAGCAATTGCAGGACTTGCGCATGTCATTCAGCCTCCCTCATGAAGATTCGTGAAACACTGCTAGGACTGCTCCCATTGTCAAAAGGTGTGAAGTAGAAGAAGAGAGGCTGCAGCAGGAAGTGGAACGAGAGCCCCGGGGCATGGAGCGCAACCAGGGAAGCTCAGACGACATTCAGCCGCACTGCAAGCACAAATGAGAAGATGCAAAGGCATGCCATGAGGTCGTGAGCTGTGGGCATTGACGGAACCTGAGCATGTCGCTTGCTTCGAGTCGCTTGCGCAGCTGCACATGGACAGGTCCAAGCCTATCCTCTAACGAATGTCTTGGACGTTCCTAGTGCAGAGCTTGCCAAGCGGCTTCGGTACACCAAGGACAGGACCTGTGCAAATCATCTCGTTTAACTCAAATAGACGACGACCACAACAACAGCGATGATTCGTGAATATGCTAAAAATCGGTCTGGGCATGGAAGCCTTGATGTTGCACCGTCTTTCTGACTCTGTCACTGTGGCACACTCTAGCAGCCTCGACCCGGCGGAAGGACATCCTGGTGAATCTTCTTGGTTCTCGACTGCCTTCTGGATTTCCTGGCTTGCTCTCGGCCGGGATGAACTGACATGTCGCTCGGCACAGTCTCTTCTCTTTGTGTCTGGGAGGCCGTGCTGTTCAAAGTAGATGTGTCATGATGATCCATCTGGCTTTCCTCCGAACTGAACTGCAAGCTTCTCGGAGGTACCTGAATCCACGAATTTGACGGGCATGTCCTTACTCAGCAACACATGCGGTGCCGCCGGCGTCAATTATCGTCAATTGGTTTCCTGCGGGACTTTGCGATCCTACGGTGTGCAGATGCATATGATACACCCATGCATGATGAAAGCCTGTGCCAGGACACACCTCAGCGCGAGATGATTGAAGACCGCATCCTTCTTCTTTTGGGCAAACACAGGTAGGTCTCTAGGTTGACAATGCTAGCAACATGGTTGCACAGCCCTTCTGGTGTGGGAGCCCTATAATCTGTAAAGAAGCGCTCTTTTACAGTACTATTTTCTCCCCACGGCAATCGCGGACGGACATGCTACAGGCGGACTTATGGTTGTAGTGAGCACAGATAAAGTTCATTGCGAGAAGGGGAGCTGGGCATGCTGCATTGCTTGCAGGAAATTCGAAAATGGACCGGCTTTCAGTGTCGCTATTTCGACTTGGTTGCTTGTGCTGTGAGTCCGTTGGATATGGATTATTGTCGGCATGGAGCATCTAGAAGTTTCATTCGATTGCAGATTGAGGGTGAAGCAAGACATATCCAGAGAAAGTATCAAGCTCTTGCGACATGCAGCTCATGGCTTGCTGATAGGATCCACTTCAAGAGCGGGAGCGTTGGGGTGCTGTATTTTTTGTGATGGTATTTTGCCGGGAACCCGGAAGGTCGGAGGTCTTCTGGACACTGTAGGACCGGGAGAGCGGACTCCCTTGCCGTTTCGGCTCCGTCCCCAAGAATCCGACGTGGCAGCCTGGACACACGAAGCGGCGACCTGAGAGGGACCGAACTGCCTGGACTGCGCTGCATTTCGTTTCGTGCACTGAAGAGAAAACTTCCCACATTCTTTTTCCGTGCTGTCCCGCAAAGGAGCGCGAATCCAAGCATGTCGGAGGCACCTATTCGGCCAGTGCTTCTCATGTTGCCATCTCCGCCACCTTGCATCCTCCACTTCATTCTGGAAGTCCAGCTATGCCTAAGAGGCAATGCCATTGCCATTGTCGGGTTTCGAGACGCTCGCACAGGAAGCCGCGAGTGAGAGTGGACCCAGAGCCCCCAGAATCATTCCCGAATCTCGACTTCCTCCTGCGTGTCCATGAGCAACTGCACGAGCCGTGTCCTAACGAGTTCTTAGCTCAGTGCACGAAACTATCGGCATGCAAAGCATTGCACGACCCACGCTGGATGGCCAGCAGCGATAGTCGTGGGCCCGAGCACCAACACGCTTCAAGCATTTCAAGAGCAAAGCAGAAGCCATTCAGCAACGTTCATCCTGACCAGGTGGAAGAAACTCTGAACCGCATCAAGACCCACAAGGGTGTCTCAGGCCATCTTGACATTTTGTACGTGTTCTAGAAGCCTGTCAGAGCAACCGGTTGCAGCCTTGCGCGAGGCATTGTCATCGTGAACAGCGAAGGAGTCCCGATGCGATCGACGTGCTGCAGCCAAGTAGCCGGTGCTGTTCTGCTTCAAGTGCCATTGCTGCAACTTCGGGCTTCGCCAAGGCTGGACAGCAAGCAAACATTGCAGTACTCGGCTCTGATCTCCCAGCTTGCCGCGAAGGATCGGATTGATCTAGCAGACTCGTGCCGAATCTGGTGTCAACTGTATTAGATATAGATTATAGAGCTGTGCTTACCAGTGCAGCAGGCACGAAGCGTGGTGAGAGAACTGGCACGCGTCTCATTCAATGGCCATCGGAGTCAACAGAGTTGATGCTTCAAGTACCTGCCACAAGGACCCTCAGAATGATTTGACCTTTCTCAGGACGCCCCATCATTACTTTTACACAGTTTAGACTGTGCGTCGTGCTTCCAAGGCCAGTGTCGCACGTAGGGCTTTTGACCACGAGGATCCGTTCCAAGAAGCATGAGATCATGGTCGCCCCGGATCGAGCCCGCGGCTTAAGCTTTTCCTCATCTTCCAGATTTCTGCCTTTCGCATCCGTCCACTATCGCAAACTTTCTGGCTTGAGGGTCCCAGGGTTGCATCTGAGACGGATTAAAATCTTCATAAGTGTCGAAATTTCAATCCCTCCATCGAGGCAAAGACAATGAACAAGCATTGTTATGGATCTTGGCCCTTGGGTTTTGTGGGTGAAGGCTCTGGTTTATCACGACTTTCAATCCATCCGTCCCGGCGACGAACCAGAACATATTTGTCCTCGGTTCTGTGAGCTCGGTTCTGTGAGGCCTTTGATGTCTCAGGAGCACTTAATTTCGTTCCGTTGGGAACGCTGGGAACTCTGAATCCAAGTGAGGGCCCCATGGCACGGGCCCGGACTCTGAACGACTTGTATGATCTGCGTGGCACGGGAAATATGCGCATCGTTGTGGGCTCTACTGGGGCTCTGGCGGGATTCGAGTGGATGAGCATCATCATCGTGTCCCTAAACTCTCGCTGGCAAACCCAACAACGATTGGTCCCTGTTTGCGACGGGGCCCCCAGATGCTTTGCAGAGGTGGGTCGGGGGGCAGTGGTGCAACCACCTCGGAAGCTTTGTTGCGCCCACCGACCCGCCGCCATGGCCCAGCCGGTAGCAAGGGTCTGACCAAGACACAACAATAACGGAGATATCGCAGTCCAGGGCTAGAGCCCTGCTCAATGCGGAATGTGTTTGGGGGGCGACAAAGGTCGGGCGTGCGGAAAGCTTGCTTTTTGGCCACTATATAATATATAATCCAAAAGACGGATTTGGGGTTTCCAAAACGGTTCTATAAGCAGTCTATACGGGTTCTAGGGTTTAGGGTTGGTTTAGGGCTTAGGGTCTCCTCGATTTGTATAAGGCTTCTGTAACAGTTTGCATTTACCGGCTTGGGTAGTTTCCTTACCAAGATCAAGAGCAGGAAAAAGGCTACCCTGATTATTAGGGGACTACCCGGGAGCCCAGCTACTACCAGTGTGTAGGCTGCTTGCTGTTTGTTGAAACTGGGGCAGTCGAATATAGATCCGAAACGTTAGTAGTCTTTACCCCTTGGATGGCATGCGGCGTTGTTTAAGGAAAATGGGTCCAGGGAAAGTCTGCCGACAGTGTCTCTGGGGCTTCGGGGCCTTGGACCCTCATGCCCCCATTGCAAGGCCAGGCAGAGGGAGGGAGGGCCCGAAAGAGGAGTGGGCTGTAAGAAGAGGGTGGAGGGGCAGCAAAGCACATGAGACGCCAGAAAAAGGCGTTCAATTTCACCAATTTGCGATTCCAACGGCGCTGGGAGGTGGGAGGGCCTGGCTTAAGTGCTGCAGTGGCGCTGAAGCCACATTTGCAAACTTTGGACAGACAGCTACATGCGGTGCATTCGTGACTTACACGGTTGGCATGCACTGGCCGCCGGATGGTTGTGCAGCCAAGGACTACATTCTGATCGTCATCCAAGACCCGAACGCTGATCAAGGAAGCTGAAACTGAAAGGCCAGTGGAAAATCGCTTGTGACGATGTTGCCTAGCTGGCATAGACAAGTGAGAACATCGACCTTGTGTCACGGCCTGCTTGGGTCCAATGTGTTGCAGGCTTTGACCATGGGCATCTTTCGCAAGAGCTGACCCTGCCAGGCAGCTTGCGTCGCGCATGTTTCACCCCCAGAGCAGCACTATCCGGAACAGTGCATGCCCCCAGCTGGCCAGATACAAGGAGTTTGTCCTCACACTATTTCGGTCGCTGCAGAATTCGCTCAAGTGCCTTGCATGACCGTGATGTGCAGTGTCCTCAAATCTGCTTTCTGTGAGCGAAGTTGTCGATGCTGTGCTTCTGCTGCAAGCTCTGCATGTGGTGCTTCTGTTACCGCTGCTGCTGCAGCTGCTGAGACATGTCTTCCACATGCGTGGTCAGCAGACATGCACAAACGACAAGCACCAGATGAAACGAACGGGTGAAAGAGCTGGGCACGACTTTCTGAACGCTAGAGAATGAACAAAAGCCGGAGCGATGGGCAGCACATCCAGTAGCGAGGATGGAGGCAGACCGTCGCTTCGTGAGGAATCGCTCATCGGTAAAGTGCACGCATGGTAACTTGATTCCCACATCACCTGTGATCCGAAGACCCTTCGAAACTCGACCAGGCTTCAGCTTTTAACGAAGACCAACCAGTGCTCATTGAGATGTCTAGAAGCCTGCCGTGGGTGAAGTCGTTAAGGGTCGGTTGGCAGCATGTGGCTGCATCGAATTACATGGTCGTGTTCTTTGACCAGATACTTCTCACACCACAGCTTTGTACGGCAGAGAGTGCAGATGCAGAGGCAGCGCCAATTTGATTCTTCGACTGGGGACGTCGATTCAAGAAGCACTGAGGCTTCAGGGCTCATGAAATTCTTCTTGATCCGTTGCGGGAAGCGCTGCATTGCAGGATGAAGGTGTGTGATCGGGTTAAGATGATCCGTGCGCAGGCCGTCGAGGCAGCAGATCACCCAGGATGGCCGCAACGGAGTAGCTAGCCATGTAGCTCACTCTTGCCCAATGCCGAAGTCTCACAAGTCGCCGATGACATTGCTGCCAATGTTCAGCACACAGGCTTGGGAAGAAGAGGATGCAGAGCGAAGCGGCCATTTGTCCAGGTGGAGCTGCATCCTGCTGCAACGGACGGGGCACGTACTCGTATCGCAACCAAGGGCAGTCGAGTCCTTCAAAACTCGTCGAAGCCTTCGCCTTCAGAAGATTGTTTCCTTGACACATGACGCAGTGGTCTCATTGTTTTTTGACAACGCTTGTTTTAGCTCTGCTTCTAAACGCCCAAAGTAACCAGGTTGTGACGTGGTGTTGCAAGCAACCGTCCTGCGTTACTGTGCACCATGTGATTGTATGTTCCATTGTCACGCTTTGAATTCAAGATCACTTGCAGTTGCTTAGGATTTTCGATTTGCTGATTTTGTCCAATTCACTCAATTTGAGACCAAGATGGACGAGGTTGGTCGCATGGGAAGTAAACTCCTTGCATAAACGACATAACACAGGGACAAGACTATACATACATACATACATACATACATACATACATACATACATACATACTGAATTCTTTCGAAGGCTGTCCAGCCAGAGCTCAGGATATGTCTGCGGAAATAAGATACTAAATCGGTTTCTAGCTGGGCCTCGGTGTAGCCGCCGTGCTGTGGTGGTCGGGGCAGCCGGGGAGATCGGGGGAGAAATGGTGGTAGAAAGAAGAGGAGGAAAAGAAATGGAACTGGAAAGATTAAGAGAAGAGGAGGAGGACAAATGGTGGGACGAAGACGAGAAGTGGTGCAAGCCTCCACTTACCAAAAGAGAGGCTGCCACCTGGAAGCAGCAGGGGGAGGAGTGGCTTAAATGAGCTTGCATGTGTTTCCCAAAGTGTCAATGCAAGGATCACCTGAGATGCTCTCCCCGTTTCAAGATGAAGGATTGTAGCGCGATTGCTTTGTCTAGAGTTTAGGTTTAGATGTGCAGATGAGAGCATGAGTAAGAATACTTCGATAGAATATAGAACTTCAGAACTACCGGGCCGTTTGATTTAGTTACTCAGCACCTTGCTTGTGCTGCGCGGTTGCCACCACGCGTGCTCGTGGTGAAAATGCAAGTGCTGCACTGAATCCCAAATGCCTAAACACAAATTCTGATCAGCTTACATGGTGCGCAAGAACGTCCCCAGCTGATGCCGCGATTGTGTAGCCGACAGATGCCGACGGTGTCTGACATGTTGTCGTGATTGCTGAACGTCTTTATTGTGGCACTGCTGCAAGTGGGCAACAGTCATGGAACATTCAACATTTTGCGGTATCAAGCTGCCACACCTACTTGTATGGCCAATCGAATTTTTGGCCTGACCGCCACTCACATTCGTATGCTAAACAGCAAAAGGCGATACCAAGATACTCAAACACCCTACTTACTTGGCTTGTAGTGCCGAAAGACAGATACAAATCAAACATGGCACATTATTAAGGTGCTCTAGGGGCAATATATAAATCGTCCCTGAAAGCTGCTTGGTCCAACTCTGGTTCGAAAAGAAATCGAGTCGAGGCAACACTCATTTGGCATAGAAAAGTTAAGTGTCGCAAGGTCATCTTGGGAAATGTTGCCTAATTGTGGTGTTCCTGCTTTGCCGGATGCCTGCCACAGGCCGCGCGTTCAGCGTGTGGTCACCCGGCTTCTGGAGGCTCAATTGGAGGCGACCGTGGGTCAGGAAGCAAGCTTTCTGGCCGGGACAAACGCAGTCTATATGCGAAACATTGCGAAACGATGCTGCTAGATGTACGTTTCTGGTGTCTTCCGACAAGCCGTTACTCTTTGTAAGCAGTCTAAACGAAGCTACAATTCCGGTTCGTTTTGCAAGGTTTACGATTTATTGACTGTGCCTGCATCGCTTGCCAAATCCAGCATGTGCGAGCCGTGAGCATCAGGCAGCCAGTGCGGCAGCCTCTCGTGCCAAGCTTCAAGTAGCAAAGGAGCAGGCTGCATTGGCATCGGGCGTTGGTTGATTGTTGCAAGTACAGAACAGATGCTGATGATGAGGAAGTTTATCTAGGCTGCAGATGCCTGCACAGGCGAACATGGAAAAGGCGAGCAGGCGGGAAAGAGCCGAGTCCCCGATGCAGCATGCGATGTGATCAATATCTTCAATATCCATCCATAGCTGCTCCAGTAGCTGGTTGGCCCAAGCTGAGGCAGAGATGCGATCGCTGCCACCAGGAGGAGCAACGCAGGTCAGGAGCTTCGCAAAGACGGCCACCATCTCCAGTCTACTAGAACTCCTAATGTTTGGATCGAACAGGAACACCTGGACCGATGCACGGCCTTGATGCTAGGCTGTGCAGCAGGCCAGCGGCCTCCAGCAGCTTATTGCATGTACAGGGTAGAGTAGAGTGCAGGTCCAGTCATGGCTGGCATGATGGCCGGGTATGTGGACGTACCGGTCACCTGCTTGACAGCAATGCTGCAAGACAAGGAGCGAGGGCGCTTAGGCGCTTATGCAGCGCTGACAATGCGTTGACCGTAGATGTTCTTTGTGATCGGTAGTCATAACGCCATTCGAAGGCACACAAGCATCTACACACAGCAACTGCAGGGTAAAGGCATCGTCATTGTCAGAACTTCACCCAGCACAAGCAGCAGCGGCAGTGGCAGCAGCAGTCATCGTCGTTCGTCGCCTCATCGTCGTCTTGTTGAGTAGCATCGCCGACGTTTGCATTACAAGCTGTTCGGCGCAAAGATGACGGCACCCAACATCATCCATGCAGGGACACGGCCAAATCATACTGTCAGAACACATTACGATTCATCATGTAGGTCAGGTGAGGGCGATCCCAGACTTTGGGGTCGTCGTCCCGCTTCGTAGGCACAGACCTTTTGAACTTTGGCAAAAGCACAACACGAGACTGCGGCCGGCGATGTCTTCCCGACCATGTAGTTTGACAGGGATCGACTTTGGCCGGTGTTGTCGTGGGTCAGCTGCAGTATCAAATGCCCCGCCGGTGGAGTCAACGACGCAGAGTGGCTGTGGTTGGGAGTGGGCATCGCGTTCGGGATCGGTGAGACCATGTGAGACCTGCACTGGGCGGGAGTAATCGGACGCAACACCTCTTGGACATTCCATTGACACCGCGACTGGCCAAATGTGCATAACTCATTCACCCTGACCAAAGAAAGGCCTAAGGAGCGACACAAGCAAGGTTATTCGACCTCAGCCGAGGAGCAGCACGCTTGGGAACAAGTGTACAGCAGATGCATACGGTACTTATGAACCCAGAAGTTAAAAATTCAATCGCGATTTAAGTGTTCGGTTTTGACCTTCCTTGGAACATCCAAAGACACAATTAAATCAAGCTGTAATTGTGTCTCTGTGGATTTCTCTACCAATGATTAAATCATGATTTAATTCTTTAATTTGGCGTTCCTCTTGGTAACCACCAGTAATGTAGTTAGTTCGTATCATGTTCGAAGGAACGCTACCGGGATACCACATAAATCATGATTTGATACTTTAATTTGGCGTCCTTCTCTTGGCAACCACCAGTAATGTAGTTAGTTCCTATCACGTTCGAAGGAACGCTACGAGGCCGGAATTAATTGTTTAATTTGGCGTCCTTCTCTTGGCAACCACCAGTAATTCAGGGCCAAACGAAGGGGGGAAGTAACTTAGGGGGTACCTGGAAACGGCTGCGGCAAAGGTTCGTTTAAGGGGTTCGGGGTTCGCACGAGGGTTCGTTTCAGGGCCCCTGCTTTCTTACTATGCTATGCTATACTATACTATACTATACTATACTATACTATACTATACTATTGTACTTTACTATACTATACTATACTGTATTATACTATACTATACTATACTATAATGCGGTGAACCCGCCGAGGCATGCACGTGCTCATATAGTATACTGAAGTCGTCCTTCAAAGTTATTTAGGCGAAAAGTATAGACTATGCGGGCAGAGGAAGGCTTTGGGCAGTGGGAGTCAGGCGTTTTCCATCATACAGGGGTCTGGGGTCGGGCTTCCGGCGACACTTACGGTTTAGGGTCTAGGATTTGGGGTGATTCTTTTGATGGGGGCATATATCAGCTCAATAATTCCACAGCGCTTGACGACAATCCTGAAGCCTGAGCAAAAGAGTAGCAAAGTAGTGAAATAGTAAAATAGTAAAATCCTGTCTCAACCAGCACAGGTCGGTTTTCGAGATGCAAACGGCTGGGGGCGTGGTAGAATAGTTAAATAGTAAAATCTTGGCTTAACCGGCGCAGGTCGGTTACCGAGATGCAAAGTGCTTGGTGCCATGCATCTCGGGCGCGAACTTTGCATTTCGGAAACACAACCTTGCATGTCGAACGCCACAGTCACGTGATCACAAGCATGCGGACCCTGCATCTCACCTTAAACCTTGAGCCTGACACAGTTGCTTTGGGAGGCAATTACATAATGATTTAATTGTTGCGTTCTTGCCAACTGTTCAAAAACAATTAAGCTCCGATTTAGTTATTTCAGGTCTGGTCGTTGATTCAGAACCATTAAGTCTTGATTTAATTGTCGTCCCGGGTTCGGGTAATGTAGGAAAAAGAATTCAATCATGATTTAGTTGTGCCGAGTAGGGAGCAGGACAAGCGTGGAATCGAGCGTCGCACGACGTTCAAGGGCCAATTAAATCATAGGCAAATTGCGCGGGCCTGAGGGGTCCAAGGTGGGTCAAGACCGAACAATTAAATCGTGATTTAACTTTTTCGATTTTTTGATTCACTGCCTTCCTTCACTTCAGGCTGTTCCGAATTACAGCAGGTAGCTTCTGTTGAGGAGGGCCGATCGAAGAGCGGATTTAAAATGTAGGATGCAGCCTCCCAATTCCAGAGATGTTCTGAGTGCTCAGGGGTGTGCACGGTGCGCAGGAACTCCTGCAACTGCGAGTTGAAGCTTTGTTCAACATGTTTTTGCCTTAGAAGGTTCTAGGCTCCAGTACATGCGGCGTGTCGGTTCTTGCTGGCCAAACGGCGAAGTGAGGCACGCAGTAGAGGTACCCGATTCTGCCGGGGCCGAGTCGAAATTGCGACTGGAGGACGCCTGGATGCACTGCGCTGCGCCTTGCTGAAGGTAAGTCTTGAATACCCCTGCAGGACTTCCAGCGCTCCTACCTTGGATATTTCGACAGGCATTGAACAGCCATGTGATCTCATTCGATTGTCTCAGGCAGGAAGGCTGTTCAGTGCAGCGCAGGGCCGCAAGCCTGCTCAACGATGCGTGCACGGTGCCACGGAATGACGAGCTGCCGGCCCAGGTTCTGCCTAATTGCAGCCTGTGGCTATACAGAAGCACGATTGCTCTGAGGTCACTGCCATCTACGGTATCAACATGTTGCTTGCAATAGCTGGTGGTTATCCGAAGTACAAGCACAAGTCTTGGGGAAGCCTGTGGAGCAAATGACGGCTTCGCGATGCTCGATGTAAAACCACTGCGAACTGCACAGGAAGATGCCATTACCCGAAAGCGGAAGCAACAGACTCTTCACATTCACGAGGTGCTCCCGCCACTGTGGCTACTGGTTTTGCCCATGCCAGGCTAGGTGGAGATTCAGTGGTGAAGTCATCAATGGCAGGCAACTCGAACCGTAGGGCTCTCCACATCGAGAAGACAAAAGCAAAATCAGCGTAGTGCACTCAAACGCTCGAAGGGTCAACCAACAAGGAATAACCGAGAGGCTACACGCATCTTGCGAGATAGGGTGCTTTCCATGTTGAATATAGTTAGTTGCACAAGGAACAGTAGTGTGCATGGCGCTACATGGCACTTCCTGGGGCTGTTGATGTGGAAGAAGACATCTTGGATGCCCGTGTCCACCACAGTGACAAGGCAGACTGGCGGCCTTGATTCACACCAACTTGCAGCAGTTCTGCCGCCATGCCTTTTGTAACAACTCGGTAGATCACCAGCTCAAGCCTGAGCTAGCAAGACGCTTGCGGGCAAACATACACAAAAAGCTGCACTCAGGACGACGTTAAATCGCAACTTGGCAGAGTCTGGCTAACAGCGAGATGCCTTGATTGCCTGGCAAAGGGAAAGGGATGTGAAACGCGAAGAGCTTGACGAATCGCGCGTGTTGACTGGTCATGTAGTTCGTCTGCTTGTATGACGTGGAAAGCTACTAGTACTTCCTGTATCAGGTAGGAGTTGAGCGGATACTTTTGAAAAAGCAGCGCCAGAGTCTTGCCGCATGCCACCGAGGCTTAAGGCAGGACGTGCCTTAGCGGGTCTGCAGGACGGGTGCACAAGTCCCAGAGGCTTTTCTCCTCGGATAAGCCTGTGGATGTTTACGGGTCCTCAGCGCTTTGTAGCCTGTTGGTCGCGGTCAGCCTGCAATGGCATTGCTTCATGTTGCACGACCACACGGAGTATGTGCTTCTTGCCCCGGAAATGTTATCCGGAACTTAAGGATGTAATCATACGGCGAACTAGTTGCGCGCACACACACACACACTCAATCACACATATATTCATGATGTGTGTATATATATATATATGTATATATGTATGTACATCTGCATATATATATATATACACAATTTTTTAAGACACGTATAGGTTAGCAGGTTATGCTCAACTCTTTCCTGGCATTCAGCTCAGACAGACTCTCTTGGTACCTAATCATTGCTTAGGCCAGTACAGCAACAACAGTTTTTAAGTGGTACATTTGGGCGGCCTTTTGCTGTTATGTCTGGCTGAACAGGCCAGATATCACCATGCACTGACACTGTCTTCGTTGGGCAGTCGCTGTCAGGCATTGACTGCCCCCCTGTTGCACTTGTTTCATGCATCCCTTGGTCTCAGGGTGGTACACGCACACGCACACCCACACCCACACCCACACCCACACCCACACCCAAACACACACACACACACACACACGCGCGCGCGCGCGCGCGCGCGTGTGCTTCTTGTGCAGGAACCCGGAACATCCTGGCGCACACATGCAAGCACTTCATGTGCTTTCCATTCTCTCCCCCATTGCCCCAGACCCCTCACCTCCCTAAACCCAGTCTCCCAACCAACCTGAGGAGTCCGGGTGAACGTGCGCACACTATCGCTTTAGCAATGGTAGGCCCAGTACTTGCTGCAATGCATTTACTCCCGTATTGGTGCTCTGACATCGTTCCGAGGGTCCCACTAACCGGCTTCAGCTGACCATGCCTTTTTTGCAATCGCCAGGAGTACGGCCATGATGCCATGTTTACTTCGGAGGTATCGGTCGAGGCGAGGGGCCCCGGCAAGGCCGGCCAATTTTTTGCTCTTGCTTGGCCGCAGGTGGTTGGAGGCCACGGTCGCAGGCGGAACCGGAAGCCTAGTGTCGGCAACAAGGCCGGGACCCTGGGGAGTCTTTCAGAAAAGCAATTTGGATAGCTGAGTCCAGCTAGCTGACGTCTGTGACAACCATCGGCGATTGGAGGGCAGCTGGAATCATTCGCAAAAACTTAACCTTTCACAAGCACTTTGGGCCATGAGAACTCAGTGGTCATTGGGCATTGCTTGAACCCTGGACTGCAACATGAGCTGTGATCAAGGAGTGGAATTTCCTCATGATATTCAAGCATTGGTGCTCTATGGTATGGGTGTAGGCTTGGCACGCTACCTCCCACACTGGATGCTGTAGTACTGACCGTTATTGCGGGAGGGATGAAGAAGCCGCCAGCATTTCTCAGGTATCACATCTCGGCTTTTCCTAAAGTTGCGATCTTGCTTTAGCCATATTTCGGCCTGAGAGACTCCCCAAAGCTGATAAGAATGGTGTCGCTCAGGAGCTGGCTCTGCACTCATTGGGCGGAGCCTCCAAGCGCACCTCGAGCAAGGCCTCGGATGCCGTTTCTGGTATATTCGAGAAAGCCTTTCATGCCCCATGCTGTAATGAAACATAGTCACTTAGGGCAGGTGGTAGGTCCGATCGAAGATTCAGCTGCAGTGACATCGCTGTTGTCAGGAAGTGATTGCCAGGACGAACACACGGGTGCCTTCGGCCAACTGCGGGCGTCATTAACACGGAGAATGAATACAACGATGGTTCTACTAGCGAACTGAGGCAGACATACTGATCAAGACGGGCTGTGTGGACTCAGATTCCGAAGGGGACCATTCTCCCACAAGCAGCCAGTCTGAATGGTGTCACCGGTAAGCAACGTCGATTGCCATTGTTTTTTTTCCCATTGTCTTGTTGAATCAAAGAGGCCAGCCCCAGCAACCAAGCAGCTCGCCTGCAAGAAGGCGGCGTACGGCTGTCGGGATCGTGCTTATTCCATGAAGTTAAATCACAGAGTACCAGGGGCTACACAGCCCGCGAGTCAGGCTGAACTGCAGACTGCCTGCCATGGCTGATGACAGACTGAGGCCAGTGCAGAGTGAAGGTGGACTTCGTCGTCGGAGTGCTGCAGAAGTACTCTGTGCCTTTAGTGTCAGGTGTGGCTTGGCCTAATGGTTACTGTAGTGTCAAGTATTGAAACGGCCCCAACATGGGTGCGCACTCTTGGATAGGATGCCCGGTATGTTAGAACTAGTACTAGTACATACTAGTACTAGTCGTAGCCACTATCACTACCACCACCACTTTGGCTACTACGACGACGACGATGAGTACAGCACAGGTACGGTAGGATTATAGTAGTCGTCATCCGCGTCGGCGTAGTCGTGGCAGTAGGTCGCACTGCGAAACGGTTGTTCACAGCGCAGAGCTCAAAGTGCAACATGTATGCATTGCCTGGCGGAGCTTTGCAAATTATTTCCAATGCCTCTTTTGAGTTGATGTGCTTGCAAAGGGTCGTTGGCCAACACTGATCGAAGGATCGAGAAAAGAAGACCTTAGCTTACTTCGGTGCTCTGAGATCACTCTAAAGCATGTTACCATGCTTGAGATCATCATGGGGTGTGGACAAAGGGGTTTACGGTACCGGTGCAAGGGCTTATCGATCTGCTGGAATCAGATTTTTTAGTTGTAGGTTGCAATTTCGTAAACATGGCTCCAGCACTATATATATATATATGTATATGATGACGTGCATATCATGACAAGATGAGTTTTCCGTCCCTCGCGCGCAGCAGATGCATATCATGCACATCAGCAACAGATTCGTGTAGATGAGGTGAACAGGTGAGTAGCTTACTGTGGCATCGACACATTCGAGTTTGCCTTGAACGACGTAGGCAGACAGGCAGGTAGGGACCGACCACGGCTGCTACAGCAAGTACATGCAGTGGCTCCATGGGCTTCCGCACAGTTCCTCGAGCCTCTTCCTTGAGAGGTTCAGGAGCCAGCACTGTGTGTTAGACATGTGACCGCGGCACGAAAGAAGTGCAGAGAGAAATCGAAAAGGTCCCGATGAGAAACCCTGGAAAAATGCAGATGTTGGCTACCAAACACGGACGTGGGCAATCCTGGCCCGCAGTCTGAAGGAGGGTCTGGGAAAAATGCGTGAAGCGTGCCGACAGGTAGAACAGGTGGGCCCCGCAGTAGATGCGGAAATGTGCAACCTCGACCCGAGCTCTCGGCACAAGGGGGGTTTGAGGTTTAGGACTTTGGAAAGCTGCGACATGTGCACAGGAGGGGGATGCCGCGGCGCAGGTAGAAGCAAGTGCGTGCAAGTAGAACGTAGAGCCGTTGACCTCGGCACGAGAATGCGGGTGATTTGCCCAAACGGGGTTCGCAAAAATACAGCATATTTCAGAATGCCCGGCAGCTGAACAAAATCTTACAGGGCAACCTACGTCCCTGACCCCGCCTGGCCTAACTTGGCGAAGGTGCTGCTAGCTCTCGTCTGGAGCAATGTGGATGAGACAAGTTACCGCGAGCTGATTCACTGGATGCCAGTCCCAGGCTGGTGTAGACACTCTGTCCATCTCTGTCCGTGACGCGTAGCTATGCATCGGATGAGGAAGAAGACATGTGCAATTCTGCACGTGTGGCACATGAAGCTCATGTTTTGAGATCTCTTGGACGGCTGTGCATCCCATCTCCATGCAGACCTGGCTGCCGTGGAATCCGCAGGTCTCGTGCTCGGCGGTCACAATATTGACTTGCACTTCGTGGTCAATGACATATTCATGTCTTTGAGCTGCATGGTCGGACTGCACCCGAAACCTGGATGGCGTACACTAAGAAGACGAATCATCAAGCTCGCGAGGTGTTTTTTCTTCGGCCTTGCGATCAAAGAGGTGCTCTGCCACTGCATGAGTGAGGTTAGGTAGGTGCCAGAACCATCTACTATCATCTACTTGTGGTTCACGCTCAGCTGTGTCACACGAACCAAGCCACCAGCCATGCAGCTTGATCGTGTGGACGGCTTGACACCGCTGACGTATCATACTAAACTCGCGATTTGGAAGCCAGCA